AAAATAAAATAAATTCCTGACAGATTTAGTGCCAGTCTTTGCCAGAAATGCTAGACTTTGCTGCAAACCACTAAAAATTGTAAATCTTTCTGTTGTGAAACTGAATGTAAAGATTCATGCAGTGTTTTCATGATGAATCGTACATTTACAATGGAACTGGTTCAGTACGACGACAATACACTTCGCTCTCGGCTGCACGAAGACTAGCCATTAGCTCATCAGTCTTGTTTGACACAAACTGGGTTTCTCCAAACTGAGCTCGTACAGAGATCAATCTACAGGGAAACATATGTATCACCCCCTTCAAAAAGTGAAAGGACGGCAACAGTGTTTTTGTCCATGTCAGGTGTGTGTGTGTCAGTCTGTTAGCATGTTTTTTGTAACATATTTATCTTGCCAATCAGTGGGTAATTTTTTGTGAGACTTGCCAAAAGGGATAATTTGTCAACATCTACAACCAATTACCTTTTGGAGACTATTTCATTCAAGATGGCTGCCTCAGCTAATCTACATTAGTCAACACAAACATGGCTGTAGCTTAGTCTGGATTATATATGTTGAGCTAAAATTTGACGTGGTAGTAGCTGTGAGTCATCTGCAACACATGATGATTATTTTCAAGGTTGGACCAAAAGCACCTACACTTTGTCATTTCTCAACATAAGATTATTTTAGTCTGAAACTCTGGCCTGTAAGGTGGCGGGCGATATGCATTCTAACGTGGAATGCGAGGCCTTTATTGTTCACAACTTTGCCACTCAACTTCACTTCAGAATGGTTGGATTACCCTTTTTAAAGATGTGCAGTGTGTTTTCTGTGACTGACTGTGAGTTGTAAGCTGCTTTCAACAGAGTGATTGATATTCTGGGACTATAAGAACAAAAAAACATCCTAATCTGGCCTCAGAATGTGACCTCAGTAAATCCAAGCCTTCATATGTCTAACTTGACCTGTGATCAGATAACTAGGGTTTGTGTTAGCATCAGGTGTGAAAAGAGTAATACTTGGTGTAGTTGAAAGTTGGAAAGCGGATGCTGTTCTTAATGAAGATTGTGAAATCCTTCACCTCCTCCATGGGTTCACTGAGAAGAGCAGAAAAAGGTTCATCTGTCACATGATGTACACTTGATTTGGGCATTAGGAGCTTCAAGATCAATGGACTCATGGATGCCATGTTCAGCACCTTAGGACCAGGTTATCATAGATCCACAGTCTCTATGATACATATAGTACTGGTAAACAGCAGTGGTGGGCACGACTCTGCTAATCCTCAAATAATGGAATGAACTTTCAATTTTGCAGATTATCATTTTCGCAACCTTTGAAAACCTTTAGAGGAATTAACCTTTCGCTAAATTTAAATCTGGTAAATTCAAGTCTGCTAACTTTTTTAAAAGACAGTTATCTGTGTTAAAAAGTACAGAAGAATGATGATTTACACAGCGTTATGCTACACAGAACTTAGCAAAGTACCACCCAGTGATGTCACCACCCCATTTGTGCTTTTCTGCCCTTATACCTACTGCAAACAGTCTCTGACTCACGGCGTCAGCAGAGACTTTAACATAAACGCCAAAGCAAACCAGAGCAAGAAAATAACGTGAAAAACCCATTTGCACACTCAAAAACACCGTAACCATCAGAAACATTGCACACATATTCCTACCCAGCATGCTTTGCAATAGTTACACTGCCTCTGGGATGTGACTCTCTCACACATTTCACACATCTTTACTTTAAAACAGACTTATTACAGAGATATTATTGATGTTGACACACAGCAACTTTGTAGTTAGTTTATAAAAGTAGTTAACCACAAAGAGGATCACTAAAATGAGTTAATTCATTAAAGTAAATGACACAATGGAGACGTCCGACAAACGTTGAATGCATCACTCTGCTTCACCACAGCAGAGTTCTGCTCCAACTCTTTGGTTCAGATGGATAGATTAATATCTGAAAGTTCACCTCTGAACTGGACATGGATTCTTTACCTGTGATTCATGAACCGTTCGTAATGAGTTGTGTTCACTTACAACACTGTCATTCGATTAGCAAAGCTAGCATTTGTGTTAGCTGTGCCCACCACTGGTAAAAAGATAAGTATTGTACGAGTACATATAACGTACTCCATCCTTTATATGTTATTTTCACCAAAGTGTAAAACAAAGTACGGCTACTTTTTCAAACAAACTCATAATTTATTTATATTTTAGTGACCACCATTTCCATGTAAATTTCCATAAAGATGCGGAGGCACAAGTCTATAACTGATCAAATAAGGTGGATGTTAGTAGTTTTCACCCCATAGCCATATGCTTGATTTTAAAGGTAAAATAATGATGTCACAAAATGATTGAAGTTACTCTGATCTAGTTGTACATTGCCATGTAAAAG